CATACATACATACATACATACATACATACATACATACATACATACATCCATACATACAAATATACAAACATACACACACATGTACTAACATACATACATACATAAAAAATTCAACTAGAATATATATTTTTTCAGCTGTTGACTCTTGTCATAAGATGGAATGGTGGCACAAGGGTGTGACCAATAGGGGCCTTGGCCACCATAGAATAATCTTTGGCCATCCCAATAATTTAAGGAAACTATATTTTTAGTAATATAAATACTAGAAAGCATAATTTCCTGAAATGATCGGGGCGGCTGGTTTACATATACATATGGTGGTCACCATCTTGGATTTTGTCGTGACAGCCCAGTTTTTGATAATGACCTTTCTTACATCTAAAAGCAACCACACACCAAAATGGAAGCTGGTACGATGCTGTTCTTTCAAGTTACATAATGCAAATTTTAGCATATACAGGCTGGCAACCATCTTGGATTTTGACCTGGCAACCCAAATTTTAAAAAGAACCTTTCTTACCTCTAGGAGTAGCCACACACCATACCAATTTATTTATATAGCACTTAAAACAGCAACAAGGCCAACCAAAGTGCTGTACAAAAGAACCAAACATGCACAGCAGACAGTAAAACATAAAATAGAAATACAGATACAAATAGCAGCAGAAGCTAACTAAAATGGCCAACAGAGTAGAGAACAGACCGGACCAAAACAAATCACACCGTGTTAAAGGCAAGCGAATAGAAGTGGGTCTTCAAGCGAGACTTAAAGACTGAGAGTGTGGGAGCCTGCCGGACACTCAGTGGCAACTCATTCCACAGTCGTGGACCTGCAACTGAGAAAGCCCTGTCACCTCTGAGCTTACGACGGGTTTCTGGGACTGAGAGAAGCATCTGGTCTGCTGACCTCAGAGAGCGCGGTGGGACATATGGCTGCAGAAGATCAGTGAGATAGGATGGGGTGGAACTGTTCAGTGATTTAAAAACATACATGAGAATTTTGAAATGGATCCGAAGGTGAATGGGTAGCCAGTGCAGGGAGGCCAAAACTGGCGTGATGTGCTCTCTATAGCCTGTACCAGTTAAAAATCGGGCTGCAGCATTTTGGACCAGTTGTAGACGAGCAATGGAGGACTGACTGATTCCAAACAGAAGTGAATTGCAGTAATCAAGCCTAGATGTTATGAAGGCACCAAAATGGAAGTTGGTAAATCACTTTTTTTACATAGTGTAACTTCAACTAACTCGAATATATTTCATCAAAAACATTTAGGTTTACAGTATTTGCATTCCCGGTTAAATCCCAGTACAGAAAAACTATTTTTAATAAACTATAAAAACCACATATAAACCATTCAAATCCGTCAGCGACAGGAGACATTGGTGTACTGCTTATTAACTCTTAGGATTGCTCCTCTATATGTTCTGTAGAAGTCTACCTGAATGTATGTTGGAACCAGGTCTGTTTTGCTCTCATGTTGTTGCTGCTGTTATTTTTTTATCTCAATAAGCTGCATGGCAACAAAATCAAATTTTTGTTCAACATTGTGTTTGAAAATGTGGCAATTCTCTGGAACTGTTTGCTCTGAGCCCGTTTTTGGTTGTAAAAATATGTTTATTACAACATTTCAGTGTGTTATACCATTAATCTCAGTTTATGTTGCGGTTCATGTCAGGGTTCTGCAGAGCGAGAGGCAGTGGCCACAGAAGAAATGTCAACTCTTGTAAATTATGTCCAACCAACCAAGTTCAACTCATTCGAAGCATCAAAGAGTAAGAGAAGCATGTCAGAAATTTGCTGTGTTGTCATGATTCTTATGGTTTGAGTCTTCTTGATTCCTATAACTCTGCCTTCTTGCTGTTTTCCTTCATTGTTTTTGATCAGAAAGAAATAATGTTTAATTTCAACTTCACTATTCACTAAACCTCTGCTAAGTCTTGCATTATTTTATCAAACAAGATGTGAGATCTTTTTAGGATGAGATTTCTTGGAGTGGCAAAGTGGAAGTGATGCAACTAAAATGATTGCTGAGAAATATATGTGTTTCTGTGGATTTTCTGTGTATGTGTGTTTGTAGAGGCAGCACGCTGTTACCACATGTCGTCTTTTGTGGAGACCAAGGCTTTGGAGCACCTCACAAAGTCACCAGTGGAGTTTGTGGAGTATCCTTGGCAACAGATACCACAGATGCAAGAACACCATGGCAACCACTTCTTCAGTCGGTGTTCTTCTTTCTCTGAATGCTTCTGTTCTGTATAAATGTCAGAAATATGTGTGAGTCACTGAGCAACTTTTAAATCGATTTCTGTCAGTATTTGTGTGTGCCTGCACTGAAGGCATTTTAAAGGTCATAAGCCTATGGCTGGTGTGTTTTTATCTAATCAATAAAAGGTCTCCACACCATTCAGGACATAGGGTATGAGATCATGCTGTTAGACATGTATAATTTTCAACCTATTGTGCTGTTAGCTCTGGATCTGATGAAACTGAAAGGTTTACGATTTTATTCCATGTCTCACGAAAACAATTCCAGCACGTCCATCCATCCATCCATCCATCCATCCATCCATCCATCCATCCATCCATCCATCCATCCATCCATCCATTATCTTTACCCGCTTCTTCCTTTTTGGGTCACGGGGGTCACTGGTGCCCATGTCCAGTCATCACTGTGTGAGAGACGGGGGACACCCTGGACAGGTCTCCAGTCCATCACAGGGACACATAGAGACAAATGAGACAAACAACCATTCAGTCTCTCACTCACACCTAGAGATAATTTAGAGTTACCAATCAGCCTAACATGCATGTTTTTGGTCTGTGGAAGGAAACAGGAGTACCCAGAGAAAACCCATGCATACATGGAGAGAACATACAAACTCCACCCAGAAAGGCCCCCGGACTGGAATTTGAACCGGGGGCCTCCTCGCTGAGAGGCAGCAGCTCTACCAGTTGCGCCACCGTGCTGCCCGCCCTCCAGCACATGTAAAATGAAATATTGTTCTGTCAATGAGACTGCATTGCAAACACCAGTTTTCATATTTTAAATTGATGTTTCAAATTTGTTACATGAGCCTCCAAACCTGTTTGTGGCATCCAAGGTCAGGACTTGGAGGTGCAGTCGTTTAGAGAAAGGTGCCTTATTTGGGAACCTCAGTTTCTTTTCTGCTTTTTAGAGATGATGTAGTTCCGTTGGTGTCTTCAGACCTTGGCCTTCAAGTTGCACAGAGGTGATTTACAGCCAAGTGTGAAGAGGCTGGTGTAAGGATCATCTCCTCTAAAGCAGTTTTTCCATTATCTCTCTGCGACTGGCCTCAAATCTATTCAGGTCTCCATGGTATCAGTGGTTTTTGATATAACTTGAGTGCTGACTCAATGTGAGTGGGTTTGCCATAACATGTCCGCCCAAAACATTTGCAACATTCTTTTCTGTCCAAGGTAAATGCAACACAGCAATGAGCAAATAAGTAAAGATTAGAATTAAAGGTTAGATAAAGTCACAAAACACTCCTCATCCTCTGCTGTGATTTCCAAAAATGCTATCGAGTTGAGGCTATCTTCCCTCTATCGATGGGTGCCTGTAAATTGAGTCCATTTGGTCTAGCTCCCACTGAAAACTGTCATCAGCCACCAAGCACGGAAATGTCTCCACCCCCTCATAGTACCACAGGGTTGGTTCACGTGTTGTTATTTTAATGGATATAGTTATATAATGGGATTGGTCAACCTTAGATCCAAGAGGAACAATGTGGGTTCTGTCTTGGCTGTGAAACACTGGACCAGATTCTTATCCTCACTAGGGTCATCAAGTGGTCATAGGATTTTGCCCATCCACTTTACATGTGGACTTTGAGAAGGTGTTCGACTGTGTTACTCAATGGTGGATTGTTCTCTTTGGGTCAAGGGTGAGGTTCTGCCTCAGGTAGAGGAGTTCAAGTATCTTGGTTTTGTTCAGGAGTGAGGTCAGAATGGAGCATGAGATTGACAGACCGATTAGTGCAGTATCTGCAGTATTGCAGACAATGTTCTGGTCCTTTGTGGTAAAGTGGGAGTTGAGCTGTAAGACAAAGATCTCTGTTTACCGGTCAGTCTAAGTTCTTACTCTCACCTATGGCCACAAAATTTGGGTAGTGGCCAAAATAACAAGATTGAGGTTAAAATGAGTTTACTCTGCAGGATAGCTGGACTCTCCCTTAAAGATAGGGTGAGAAGTTCAGTTATCCAGGAGAGACTCAGAATAGAACCGCTGCTTCTTCACATCGTTCAGAGAGATTTATTTGTCATTCGCCAAGATTCAACTTGTCTGCTGGCCTCCTTAGATAGATAACTTTGCTAATTGGCTTTTTTATGTACAAATGTGAATGTTCCTGTAAAGTGCCATGAGACAACTTTGTTGTGATTTGGCGCAATATAAATAAACTGAATTGAACTGAATTCAATTACTGTATGTGGCGGAATGAAATTATGTACACAGGGTCCTAGTTACGTCCAACAATAAAATGTAAACAAAAAACAGTAATAAGATCTAAGATATGAACTAAGGAACACATCACCTAAATAATACACTAAGTACTAATAGCATAAAATATATATGTCGAACAGCAGCACGAACATGAGTCTGTGTGAGCAGATTAGCACACATGAACACAGCAACATGAAACAGATCAGCAGATCAGCAACATGATGTGATTTTTCACAGTGATTATCCTGATTAGACATTCAAGAGTCTAACAGCCTCAGAGTAGAAGCTGTTCTTCAGTCTAGTGGTTTTTACAATTAATGCTCCTTAACCTTCTTCCTGAGGAGAGCGGGGCAAAAAGTGTGTGTGCTGGGTGAGTGGGGTCTTTCATAATGCAGGTGGCTCTCTTCCTGCATCTAGAGGTGTAAATGTCAATGACGGTGGGGAGGCTGACTCCAACAGACTTCTGTGCAGTCTTCACCACTCTCTGCAAAGCTTTTCTTTCTGCATCTGTGCAGCCTCCATGCCACACATTGATGCTGGAGCACATGATGCTCTCCACTTCACACCTATAGAAGGAGCTGTGGACTGAGCTTCACATCGTGAGGAAGCAGTTGAGTTGGTTCAGAAATTTGGTAAGGATGCTCCCTGGGAGTCTCCCTGGGGAGGTGCTTTGGGCATTTCCAACTGGGAGGAGACCCCTGGGAAACCAGAACATGCTGGAGAGACTATGTCTCTTGGATGGCCTGGGAATGCCTTGGAATCTTCCCAGAAGTGCTGGAAATGATGGGTGTAGGAAAAGATGTCTGGGCTTCCCTACTCAAGCTGCTGCCCTTGCGACCTGACTTTGGAACAAGTGGAAGATGAAGGATGGAGGGATGGATGGATATAATGGCAATGAATGATGTGGTTGCAAGGTTAAAAAAAAGTTGGGTTTGATTTTTGTAAAGAAGATGCTCTCATGACTGATGTCACTTTCTGGCCATTTAATCTCCTGCAGTCTGCTGATGCCAAATTTTCAGCCTGACACAGCTCACTTGAAACCTCAGCTGAGTAGATTCTAAGAACCAAGCTGGAAGTGAGTGGGATCACTCAATGGAAATACTGAAGCTTTGCTGAGACGACCCAAGTTGGGCTGAGTTGAGCTTCACTTCACCACTTGCTCTTGCCAAGGTTGGATGCTTCTCCCTTCCCCTCCTTCTCTGCTTTGCTTTGCTGCTCTGTCTGTCTGTGAAACTGCTTCTGAGCCTGTCTTTACATATTTTCTGAACCATAATTATGGACTTGATTTGATCAGTTGGTCCCTCAACACAAGTGATAACATTTCTTCGAAGAGAAGACAGACTTTAGGCGAGCCGATTGCCTTGTTGGCACGCACGCAGCTGCATATATCATCGACTTGAAGCCTTGATTTTATGTCTATCTGTGCTACCATTTGTGGATTTTAAGGACGCATATTTAATTGGAGTTACGATAACTGGTTCCTGCTTTTTGGATTCAGCCGGTTGCTGGTTTAATCTACAATCAAGGAAGTCATCTGCAGCAAATTGGGACTCGATCACGCTGCTTGCCTTTATGATGGCTTGGTTCGTGCCTCAAGTACCCAGACTCAAAAGCTTTGGGTAGAATGGATCAGATCTCTGGGATTTTACTCAGGCACATTCCATCGGTGTGGCCATGTAATTTGGAAAGTTCGGAATCCCAGTGGACCAACACAGACTCAAGGTACATGTCCTTAAGGTCTGCCTGTCCCCAAAACAACTGTGTGTTTGTATGAATTAGGCTCCCCTGGCTAGCCTTGAAGAACATCTTATCTGAATTTGCCTACAGAACATGTAATCTAACGTTCGAGGAATTTCCAACTGATAACCAGAGGAAACTAGCTGAGTAAACATTGTGTCATCATTTCAGGGCTCTTGGATTTCCATAGGCGTTGTCCCTGGCCATTCCCCGACATCCTTTGAGAATGTTTCCAGATCTCACCGCTGGGAACTGGTTGATTATTCCATCCTTATCAGAACTCTTACAGTGCCCTTGAGAGCGTCCATGGACATTGCTCACCGCTCTCGTCCCCCCCCCCCCCCCCCCGCAGATTGTCTACGTCACTATGTGCTGTTTGTGTGAGGTGTTTTTTTTTTCTAATATTAGAGTTTTTCTTCTCAGCCAAGAAGAAAGAGTCTGATAGGATTTTTTTTGCCTACGTGTCCAGTTTCATTACTTTTTGTCTGTCTAAACAGATCTCATTTGTAAATGAGTCTTCTAGGCTCAATGTGACTTATCTCTCTAAATAAAGGTTGAATGAATGAGCCCATGTACAAAGGCCATATGTCTGAGGCCATGGTTTTCAACTGGATATAGAAGAAATACACCCTCCATGTTGGGGGTGCATTTTTGTTTCAAGTGGAAGAGTTTAAGTATCTGGGAGTTTTGTTCAGGAGTGATAGTAGGGTGAGGCAGGATATTGAACAACAGCGCAGCTATTCTTCTGCAGTAAAGAGTGCATTGTTCTTGTCTGTTGTGGTGAAGAAATAGCTGAGCTGAAAGGCAAAGTTCTTGATTTACTGGTAAATATATGTTAAAACCCTTACTTTTCACCACTAGGTATGAGTCACAGTAGAAAGAATTAGATTCTGGATACAAGCACTAAAATTAATTTTCTTTATTGTGAGAGTGACAGGGCTCAGTCTTAGAAGGAATACAATGAGGAGCTCTGTCATCTACTGAGAGCTTGCAGAGTCACTGGTCCTTCTCTTCAGAGTCAGCTGAGGTGGCGCAGGCATCAGATTTGAACATATCTTGGACACCTTCCTTTGGAAATTTGATGGGCATCGCTATCCAGCAGTAGACCCTATTGCAGACCCAGAACTTTCTGGATAGATTATGAATGTAAGATGTCCTCTCTGGACAGTGAATACTTTCAGAAGGAGCTGGAGGGTGACACAGGATGGATGGATGGATGGATGGATGGATGGATGGATGGATGGATGGATGGATGGATGGACGGACGGATGGATGGATTTTCTCAATATTTGCTTTTAAGATGGGTTGAACACTGTTTTGATGAGAGAAATATCCCGTGGTCTAAAAGAACAGGATGAATTCTGTCATTATCCTTAACCGTGTACTCACAGATATAACAAATCCCAGCTGAGTCGAATTTACCCCAAAGGAACCAGAGTGGACTCGTCAAACTTCATGCCTCAGCTTTTCTGGAATGCTGGATGTCAACTGGTGGCTCTCAACTACCAAAATATTGGTAACTAAATGTAGATCTGAGTATGGCAAAGGTAGCAAGCAAATGGTGCATTTAAAAAGTTGTTGGTTTAATTTAGAAGTGATGTTTACAAATAATATGGTCTGAGATAAAGGTAGAAAAATTACAACATTAAACACGTATCTGCTGACCCAAGTTCACTGATTGAACTAAATGTTGCTAAATTAATGCTGATTACCATTAAAGGCAGAGAATCCTGCAATCGTGTTTTGTCTAGCTCCACAAAATCTCATGAACCACTAAAAATACTTCAATGAAGCTCTCAGAAAGCCATTGTTCATCTACCACTAACCCTGGTTTAAGATGGCTGCCATAGATTAGCAAACACAGAAAATGTTATAGTGCAGTCAATTTTACACAAACTGTATTAAGATAAATTAGTCTCAAAAGTAGTCACACAAGGGTACAACAAGATTTGTATGTGTACAATAAGTTCTACACACATACCACAAGATTCACAAATGCATGCAACAGTTTTGTCTAATAGCTAAACACATAACACGAGGATGACATGTTCATGTTGTGGACCATTACAAGGGAAGGTTATTCTTGTGGATAAATTACTGGTCAAATCAATTTTTCCAGTATTATATGTATTTTTCTTGATAGATTTTCACCATGAAGAATAATTGACTAATTTTAGGTTGTTTATTTCCACAAAATACACACTGGAATCCTATAACTGTAAATGTTGTAATATAGGGGTCAGGTCATGATTTTCTGAACCAAGTTAGAAACATGTCTTTTCCCAATAACTCAGATGTCCCAGATTTTCACCAATCTTGAATGCAGCATTACCTTTGTGAATCTGGAGCAGTAAGAAAGTTTCCAAAGTCACATTTACAGACAAGCTTATTTGTCTGCATGTGTTGACTGGTACACCTGCGGCAGGTGATTTGTGCACATGCATTTGACTGTATGTACAGAATATTCCGATCTGTGCAATTTCAAACGTACATTTTAAAAACTTTTTATGTATTTGTAAAACTTATGGTAAGCGTGTAGATCTTATTGTACGCAAACATATCTGGTTATATGGTTATGTGACTACTTTTGGAAGTAATTAATCTTCATGAAACTGCACTACAATCCTTTCATTCAAAGAATGCTACTTCGCTTGTCTGGGCCATGGCTATAAATATTTGTATAATAATTTGCTAATGGAGGTTTAATGGACCAAACATGGTACGTGGTCTGTCAGCAGTAGGGGCTGCAGTAGCTCGGTGGTCAGTGCTGTGGTCTTGCAAACCTGAAACCGTATGTTTGAGCTCAGGTTGCATGAAGAAGGGCATCTGGCATAAACAATTTCCAAATCAGTCATGTGAGTTTGTCTAAAAATAAAATAGCTTTTTCAGCCATCTTGAATTAGGTTGACTCTAAACGGAATTTTTTTTGTAGATGTAGACCCAATAGTCAGTTTTTAAAGTTTCGTTCAGTGGTTCAAGAAATATTTTCCCATCAAAGCAACAAACAAACACAATTGCATGATTGCCCACCGCCATGGAAGGTAGGAGAAAAAGAAAAGGAAACAAGTCAAACCAAAGAGTTGAGCGTGAACGGTAACAAAATAATCTTTGTGTTTCAGATTTGTCCATGCAGCTGAACCTCTTCATGTTTGAGTACAATGGTCGGAGCGGCTACAGACTGAAACCGGAGTTCATGAGGCGTCCGGACAAACACTTTGACCCGTTCACAGAAAACACGGTGGACGGCATTGTTGCTAATACTCTCTCTGTGAAGGTACATGTGAATGGAAAAGTTCTTGAAGTGTCTTAAAACTCCTACTGGAACAAATATATATATATATATATATATATATATATATATATATATATATATATATATATATATATATTTGATGAACTTTGGTGAAGTAGCTTTTTTCAAACGGAGACTAAGTTTGCATTGAATATTTGTTGATTTAGCCACAAACAAAAGAGCAATAGTGTTTATGCCCTGTGTCTGTTTGTGTGAGTGTGTGCGTGTCTGTTACTATTAATATCCCATGAATCAATGAACACTTCAGTGAAACTTTCAGGAAGTAATTTTGGATGTTCATTAAAGATTAACATTTGAAGTTAATCCGATTCAATATGGCTGCCACAGCCAACTGGCCTTAGAAAATACAAAAAAAGTTGTCAATTTTACAGATATCGAGCAAAAATTTGGTGTGATAGTGAAAGTTAATCAGAACACATTCTTTAAGTAACACATCATTGTTTGAGATCTCATTAAAATCTTGTGATCTGTTTGTTGCCAAAACATTTTATGAAGCACTGGACAGATTTTAATGAAACGTTCAGAAAGTTGCACGCATGTCTAAAACTGATGGCTGCCACAGCTAATTACATTATCCATCACAGAAATGGTTTTTACCTCAGTTAATTTAACAGATATTGAGATAAAATATGATTGTAATACTTTATCTTTGAGTAATTCAAAACACATACTCTAAGGGTGACATCTTGTAATTATCACTTTACTTTCAACATTTGACCAAAACATCTGCAATTCCATTTATCAGCATAAGACGATCTAAAACGTTGGTATTGTGGAATGGTAAGTCTTTAAATGTGCCTGTATTTTCTGCTGCTGTGTGTCGCAGGTGATTTCTGGGCAGTTTCTGACTGAACGAAGGGTGGGGGTGTATGTAGAGGTGGAAATGTTTGGACTTCCTGTAGACACCAGGAGGAAAGCTCTGAAGACTAAAACCTCACAAAACAACAATGCCATCAATCCAGTGTGGGACGAAGAGCCTATCGTCTTCAAGAAGGTGAGGAGTGGCAGAGAAACATTGTCAGACAGATTAGTCTCTATGGAATAATGAATTCAGATCATCTTTGAAGAGATCTAGTAGAGTGCTGTTTGAACATGTGTGGATGGGTAAATGAGGGCACAGATTGGTTTATGAAGAGCTTTGATATCCTGGTTGGATAGAAAGGTGCTAAATAAGTTTAGTCCATTTATTGTTCATTTAGAAACGACCAGATGTTTCCATCAGCAGGGTGATAACTTCTCTCCTGCAGGTGATTCTTCCCACATTGGCCTCTCTGAGAATTGCTGCTTTTGAGGAAGGAGGGAAGTTTATCGGCCATCGAATAATCCCGGTGTCTGCAATCAGACCAGGTATGCCGGTGGTTTATTAAGATGGCACCCTTATTGTATTTTCACTTATTATCATTTTACTGTTTTATTTTCTGTATGCTTTTTGCAATCTAAGTACTGCAGATGTTTTAATTTAGCTTCAAATATCAAAATATTCAGCTCATTCACAAGCTGGGTATGAATTTTTTGTTTTGTTATAACTGTTATGCTTTTTAAAGTAGTAAAATTTATAAATATTTTCTGTCCAGAAATACATTAGGATCAACATAATTCCTTCAGAAAAATTGTTGTTATTGAAACTTTTGGCTAACTTTTTGTCATTTTTAACTCTTAGCTACTCTTTACTACTTTTAGCTTTTAGCTCATCTTTTGTTCCTTTAGATTTTAGCTAGCCGTTTTGCCGCTTTAAATTAATAGCTAGTCTTTCATTAATTTTAGCAGCTAGGTACAGTGTAGCTAAATTGAGCTATTAGCTAGTGTTTTGCCTCTTTAAGTTTTTAGCTAGTCTGTCATTACTTTTAGCATCTATGTGCCATTTTGTTAACTTTAGCTATTAGCTAAGATTTTTCTACTTTTAGTTTTAACTATTTTTTAATTACTTTTAGCATTCAGGTACAATTTTGCTAACTTTTTCTATAGGCTAGCCTTTTGCTGCTTTTAGTTTTTAGCTAATCTTTTATTAATTTTAGCATATACAGTATGTACCATTTTGCTAACCAGCTATTAGCTAGCCTTTTGTCACCTTTGACTCTAGTGTTTTTCTCATCTTAGCTTTAGGTTCTCTGAAGAGTACTGTCAGGGAATGATGAAAATGTGTGTGGTTACCATGGTGACCATAATACGCTGCATCAACTTTGTTTAGATCTTGAATCTCTTTACACTCATTTTACAATTTATGCATCAAAACATATGGCTTTGTTTTCTTAGTTTACATTAAGCTATGTTTAACCTTTGTGCACCTTTCAAGATTTGCTTAGAAAAGTTCTAGTAGTTAACAGAAAATCGTTGTAACCTTGCATGTCATCTTTAACATCTACGATGTTTTTTTCCTTTTGTTTGTTTGTTTGGTTTGGTTTCTTGATCTTCTGCCAATGGGCCAGAACTTTCAAAAGGAACACAGTTGGAGAGACAAATCCCATTTTTAATGTCACAAACAGAATAACAAATGATTTCTTTTGCACCTTGTTTTTTGGATGTGGAGTCTATAAATCCATTGATAAATTTAACACATTCAAAAGATGACACTCATTTTCTGAGAAACACATCTTTGTTCCCATCATGTCCAAAAACCCACTCAGCTTTCAAACTTCTGGAAGTAAAACAAGTGTTATTTTGTCTGAGTCACAAAAATCAGCAATTATTTCTATGAGGTTTATACAGTACAAGATTGATTCATCACCCTGATTGATCAAAATATATCATGAAATCAGCCGTTTGATGTCAGTAAATGTTTTCTCTGCAGGTTATCGTTACATCGGCTTGAGGAACGAGAAAAATCAGTGTCTAATTTTGCCAGCCATCTTTGTTTACATTGAAGTGAAGGACTATGTTCCAGATACTTTTGCAGGTAAATATTTAACTGAAAGTTTTATGGAAAATAGAATTAATAGATGTAGTTTTTTTTCTTTTGAATGAAAGCCCAATAAAATAACACACACAAAGCATGACAAACAATTTACATAAACTGTTATTGTGTACAAATATTGTTCCAAATGTCCAACTTCAAAAAGGCACAAAAGTCGGTCATTGCACAGTTTTCACTTCTGTATTTATTTAAAAACCTTCGGTCACAAGAACTTTTAATAAAACATAATTTCTAACCTCAGAGTCAAAATTTACTTTCTTACCCCCCGCGCCGTCACAGAGAAAGGAGGAGAATTAGAAATACTTTTCGTCCATCCTTGTGGGCATGATAACCTAAAAATAAAATCACTTTAAAATAAGTGAGATAGTGACTTCCACTTTGGTGTTTGAGTATCTACAGTAGGTGTAAAGAAAGGTCCCTATACAAAGATGGGTTGCCACATTAAAATCCAAGATGGACACCACCGTATGTAAACCAACCACACCAATCTTTTGAGGAAACTATGCTTTCTAGTTTTTTGTTGCTTAAAACTAGTTTCCTCAAACGATTGAGGAGGCCAAAGAGGTGACTGAAGATTAATTTATAGTGGTCATGGCCACAATTGGCCACCCACTGGCTCCACCATTGTTGTGGATAAAATTGCTCTCTCCACTCACCAGGATCCACCACCCTTCTCTGCATCAGACAAGCAATAAATAAATAAAAATAAATGAAACAATCTATATTTGTTCTACACAGTGTGGTTCCTACCCATTTGAATATACATCCATCTTTAACACTTCTTCATTTCCGGGTTGCGGGGGTCACTGGTGCCGTCCAGTGTGATGCCTGGACAGGTCTGGACAGGTCTCCAGTCCGTCACAGGGACAAATGAGACAAACAACCATTCACTCTCTCACTCAAACCTAGAGACAATTTAGAGTTACCAATCAGTCTAACATGCATGTTTTGGTCTGTGGGAGGAAACCAGAGTACCTGGAGAAAACCCACACATGCACAGAGAGAACATGCAAACTCCACCCCGAAAGGCCCCTGGCCAGGATTTGAACCAGCAAACTTCTCACTGAAAGGCAACAGCTCTACCAACTGAGCCACCATGTCACCCCCACTTGAATATCTTGCACCAAAAAGATGGAGGTTTACTTACATTCCCTGTTCACTTCCAGTCAAAAAAAAAAAACACTCATCTCCAAAACGACAAACATTCATTATTGAAATCTTTCTGTGACAGGGGACATCGCTGTTCCACTTGTTTTCTTAAGAAAAATATCTTTCAGGTGGTTAAACTAAATCCCTGGGACAAGACAGATCCAAGAGTTGGACTCTGCCCAAGAATGGAAGACTAAGACTTAGAAAATCTTATCAACTAGGAAAAACTTGAGAGTCGTATCACTTTAAGGACACGATGACCTACATCAGACTGTAAACAGAAATGCACTCCAACTTCAGAGGGCCTATAAATAAATCATATCTTATTCAAGAACAGTCAAACTTGAAGGTGTCGCTTTTGGAGAGAATATCCACAATAAATTAAAACTTGTGCATCCATTCCTTTTCTTTTTTTGTACTGAGGTTGTTTGTTGTATAATCAATCAATAATCGAAAAATAACGATTCAAATCAACTAAAAAAATTGTTAGAACATTCATGTCCATAATGACATTAACGGTAAATGTCGATCAGCTCCCTAGAGCCATCTACAGGACATTTATTTAAATCAAAACAATGATTTCATAATTGTTAAAACACTTTTTCAGCACAATTTTCCTTAAAGGATCCTGAACACATTTATACACATTTTTGTGACCACATCTTTTTTCTTTTCAATATGAATAAAATAGCTAGTTGTCTAAGTTCATTGATATACACTGATGTACAGTTTTATTATTAATGATATTATGGTGTGTAAATGTTTTTATGGCAATAAAAGGAATGTTTTATTTATACACAAGTAGTGGTTTTAGATTGTGTTCAGCTTTTTAAACTCTGTTTTCAAACCGACATCTGCATGATTAAATTCTCGTGCACATCTAGCAGCTCGGTTCATGTGTTTGCATCTCTCCTCCAGATGTGATCGAGGCTCTGTCCAACCCAATACGATACGTCAACCTCCTGGAGCAGAGGTCCAAACAGCTGGCAGCCCTGACTCTGGAGGACGGCGAGGAAGAGACTCAGAATGAGGTAAAACATTTTCTGTGTTACTTTTCCAAACAAAACGTTATATATAAAAGGTTTATTTTAAACACTGATGTCCAGGACGAGGTGGATAACAGCGCAGAGCGTAAAAACGAGCACAGACCCGCTCCACTGGAAAATGGACTCAGTCCCACTTCTGGTCCAGCAGGCCACACCCCCATCGCTATGACACCAAAAGCCTCTGCAGCCAATCAGCAAGCAGCAGCAACAGGTACAACACCTCACTCATCCAGTGCTATTACATAATTAAAGATGATAATAACCACTAATGTTTATTGACGTTTGTGATGTTTCCGATTTTAGACGGAGGCAAACCAGCAGCAGCAAAGACCGAAGACCTGGTTTTAGGTGTTTTAATTGGTAAAAATTTATTCTCATAACTTAATTACTTTTTTAATGAAAATGCATTAAATCAACAACAGGTAGAACTAAAATGAGAAACAAAACTCTCAGTTGTTAAAGAGACAGTACAGTACGTGGATGAGGTTTTTGTTTGCAATAGACAAAAGTGGCAATAAAGTTTTTGCCTGTTTGTCTTGTTATCAAAATATGTCATGAACCACTGAATAGATTTTAATAAAACGCGCAGAATTTACAACTTGCTAACTTTTTTAGTCAATCCAACTGGAGATGGCTGCCACAGCTTAGCAAACTGGACAAAGACATAAACAACTATAACAATAACTACACCTTGACCTTAGCAAACACAAACATGTCTGTAACTCTGCCATTTTGCAGGTAATTGGCTAAAGGATGTTATTTTTTATTATTTTTTTTAACCACTATCCATCCTCATGGCCTTTTACCTTTGTCTGTCTAAAAAAAGTATTCTGATAAAGGCTAAGATGCCGCACTCCTGTAGCAGCAGCAACGTGCACTCTGCCATCTTTCAGACAACTGTACGAACATAATCTCACTGTAGCTCGGTACAATGATAATAAATCTCATTCTGATTCTGAAAGTTTGGTGTGGTAGAAGCTCAGAGTCATTTTCAACAGGTACTTTTCACATGACATTTCTCAATACTTCAGGAGATTGTTCATATCATTCACACAGTTTGACTAAAACAGCAGAAGCTCTGCTCTTCTCATCGTAGAAATGTTCTTAATCTAAAACTGAACGGAGGCAGGGCATCTGTGTTAATTCATTGAGTTTATTTTAATGTTTGTTTTGTTTCAGGAGCAAGTTTACTGTATAAAAAACTTTTGTAGATAGTTAATACAAACATGTATGTTATAAATAGGTTGTTATTATGCTACGCTACATTACATTACCTTATGTTAAGCTCTGCTATGTTTGTTGTGATGCATTGAATTATGCTATATTATGTTATGCTTTGTTCTGTTATGTTATGTTGTGTTATTTTATGTTATGTTGTGTTATGTTATGTTATGTTGTGTTATTTTATGTTATGTTGTGTTATTTTATGTTGTGTTATTTTATATTATGTTGTGTTATGTTATGTTATGTTGTGTTATGTTATGTTATGTTGTGTTATGTTTGTTGTGTTATGCTAGATTATATTATCCTTTGTTATGTTGTGTTGTTATTTTGTGTTATATTGTGTTCTGTTATGTTATGTTATGTTATGTTATGTTGTGTTATTTTATGTTATGTTGTGTTATTTTATGTTATGTTGTGTTATTTTATGTTATGTTGTGTTGTGTTATGTTATGTTATGTTGTGTTATGTTATGTTATGTTGTGTTATGTTTGTTGTGTTATGTTATGTTATGTTGTGTTATGTTGTGTTATGTTATGTTGTGTTATTTTATGTTGTGTTATGTTATGTTATGTTTTGTTAAGTTATGTTATGTTGTGTTATTTTATGTTATGTTGTGTTATTTTATGTTATGTTGTGTTATTTTATGTTATGTTGTGTTATGTTTGTTGTGTTATGTTATGTTGTGTTATTTTATGTTATGTTATGTTATGTTATGTTATGTTATGTTATGTTATGTTGTGTTATGTTATGTTATGTTATGTTGTGTTATGTTTGTTGTGTTATTCTAGATTATATTATCCTTTCTTATGCTGCGTTGTTATTTTGTGTTATGTTGTGTTCTGTTATGTTGTGTTATTTTATATTATGTTGTGTTCTGTTATGTTGTGGTATTTTATATTATGTTGTGTTATTTTATGTTATGTTGTGTTATTTTATGTTATGTTAAGTTATTTTATGTTATGTTGTGTTATGTTTGTTGTGTTATGTTATGTTGTGTTATTTTATGTTATGTTGTGTTATGTTGTGTTATTTTATGTTATATTGTGTTATGTTATGTTGTGTTATGTTTGTTGTGTTATGCTAGATTATATTATCCTTTGTTATGTTATGTTGTTATTTTGTGTTATGTTGTGTTCTGTTATGTTGTGTTATTTTATATTATGTTGTTTTCTGTTATGTTGTGTTATTTTATATTATGTTGTGTTATTTTATGTTATGTTGTGTTATGTTATGTTGTGTTATTTTATGTTATGTTGTGTTATGTTTGTTGTGTTATGTTATGTTGTGTTATTTTATGTTATGTTGTGTTATGTTGTGTTATTTTATGTTATGTTGTGTTATGTTATGTTGTGTTATGTTTGTTGTGTTATTCTAGATTATATTATCCTTTGTTATGCTGTGTTGTTATTTTGTGTTATGTTGTGTTCTGTTATGTTGTGTTAATTTATGTTATGTTGTGTTATGTTTGTTGTGTTATGTTATGTTGTGTTATTTTATATTATGTTGTGTTATTTTATGTTATGTTGTGTTATTTTATGTTATGTTGTGTTATGTTTGTTGTGTTATGTTATGTTGTGTTATTTTATGTTATGTTGTGTTATGTTGGGTTATTTTATGTTACGTTGTGTTATGTTATGTTGTGTTATGTTTGTTGTGTTATGCCAGATTATATTATCATTTGTTATGTTGTGTTGTTATTTTGTGTTATGTTGTGTTATGTTATGTTGTGTTATTTTATGGTATGTTGTGTTATGTTATGTTGTGTTATTTTATGTTATGTTGTGTTATGTTTGTTGTGTTGTGTTTGTTGTGTTATTACAGTGTTGTGTTATTGCTGTGTGTTACACCTGGCAGGGTCCAATGCTGACATGTTCCTGTTTTTAGTTTTCTACATTTGTCTTGGAATCTAGCTGTTTTTTGTTTTGTTACCTTTTCCTTTTAGCCATCCTATTTGTTAAAAAAAAAAAAAAAACTTGAGTATGCTTTTCTTATAACTGTTTATTGTTGTTGCTGTTGTCCATTGTTGTCATCTTTCTTTGTTGAAATCAGGTCTCTCTTGTAAATGAGTCCTCCAGGCTCAATGGGATTTACCTGTATAAATAAAGGTTGATTGATTATGCTAGATTATATTATGCTTTGTTATGCTGTGTTGTTATTTTGTGTTATGTTGTGTAATAATAATAATAATAATGTGTATGTATTTTCATCATTGTATGTTCCCATACAACGGCGAAATTGTCTCTCTGTATTTGACCCTTGTTGTGATTGTTGTGTTGTGTTATGCTTTGTCATGTCATGTTATGTTATTCTGTTTTCGTTATGTTATCTTGTGTTTGTTGTGTTGTGTTTGTTGTGTTGTGTTAAGCTTTGTTATGTTAGGTTATTTTGTGTTGTGTTATGTCATGTCATGTTGTGTCATCTTGTGTTGTGTTATCTTATTCTACTGTATGTTTCATCACCTTTATTTAACCAGATAAAAACGTATTGAGATCAAGATCTCTTTTCCAAAGGTGACCTGGTCATGAGATCAGCAGCACACGTCATAAAAGAATAATCAAAACAATCCAGGATATATGATAAAACTCTGTGATACCAACTTAAACAGGTTTGGATTCCAAAGTGCAAGCCATAATTAAAAACACAGACAACAACAATTATAAAATGGTTGTGTTGTGTTATGCTTGTTATGTTATTCTATGTTATGCTATGCTCTGTTATCATTACACTAATTTGTGTGTTTGCTTTGTGGCGGCAGACACACCGGCATGCACCTTAGAGAGCCTGCAGCAGTCCAAGCTTTACCAGAAAGAGCAGAGACGTCAGTTTAAAGAGCTGAAGGAGCTGGTGAGGAGACACCAGAAGAAAACCTCTGAGCTTCTCCGAGAGTTCAGCAACAAGTACAAGAAGCTGGCCAGACAGTGTAGCAAGAGCAGGTTCTGTTGTCTCGTTAATTCACTTCAAAACTAACCTGGAAACAAATCTTCATCGCGAGAAGTGTTCATTCAAACATCCTTGTGTTTGTTAGGAGTTTAGGTTCAGACGTTGAGAAAGAGGAGCGTCTGCAGCAGCTGAAAGATGAGCAGCAGCAGCAGCTTCTGGCTCTAAGGCAGGAACAGTACTACAGTCAGAAGTATCTGCAGAAAGAACACATTAAAATGGTGAGTCAGCATTTACATCATAAACTCTACACATGCAGGAGTCATGGGTTTGAGCGTAGAATCTCTCAACCCTAATAACCTCTTGATACTCCTCTGTTAGCAGTGTCAGCTAACACTGGCTGTTTTTGTACTAGTTAGTACTACCTGTTACTTATGTACCAGTTATTTACCTGGTACATACACTGTAAATGGTACTTGCCAGATAGGTACCTAGTACATAACAACAAAGGTTAAATTGTTTCATCTGGACCAGTTTCTTTAAGTGAGAAACGTTTCATCCCCCATCCAGAGGACTTCATCTGTCTGCGGCCTGCCTACCAGATCTGTCCCATAGGTAGCCTTCATTGCTGTGTTTCAAGCCAACCTCCTGTTGGAATCTCAAAAGTAGGCTTTTAACATGTGCAAACACCCGAACCCGAAACCTGGTCCGGACCGACCCGGATTAGGCCTGGTCCTGGCCGTTATAATGTGACTAATGTGCGGGCTGGGCCGGTCTCGGGCTTTAATGCGGTTTTACGAATCATACAGCCCAAATAAAATTCAGAATGCACAATATAAAATTGTGTTAATCTACTTGTAGAGGAGGAGGCTCAAGTTTATATGTTGAGAGGACGAAGAAAAAAAGAAGAGTGCAGCAGTTAATCAGACTGTGGAAGAGATTGCTGGCGCATTGTGCAATAATTGCGCACGTGGGCTCAGGCTTCTGCGGATTTACGAATCATACAGCACAAATAAAACTAAACGCACAATACAAAATTGTGTTCATCTACTTGTTGAGGAGAAAGCAGGTCCGACCGTCTGGTTAAAAAAAGTCTTGTTAAGCTCAGATGGACACATGTCACTGGCCACACACGTCCGCTGACTCACCTGTTGAAATGGACTTGCGATTTGTCCAGGGTGTACCCCACCTTTCACACAGTGACTGCTGGACCTGGGCACCAGTGACACACCCCCCCCCCCCCCCCGCTACCTGAAAAGGAAGAAGCGGGTAAAGATAATGGATGGATGGATGAATCAGCTGATCCCCTGCTGCGCGCGTCTCCGCACCTGCTGTCATCTGCGGTGAAGGAAGTAGCAGCATCTACAAAAACTAAAGCGAGCAGCGCGTTCAATTAAAACAGCCTTGTTCTGTATTTTCCAAATAATTTTGCTCTAAAAATAGTTTTGTTCATTTGTATAATAGCCTATCTTTAGAGTTGATTTTTTTAGGCTATTCGTTTTGTATGTTAATATCCATTTGGTGACTTGTTAATAAAAATAAATCTTATATCTTCCTTTTGTTACGTTTTTAAAACTATCATGTCAAACTGATTTGCTTACAAAAGAAGTAAAAGCTTAATTTAAAAAAAGTTTTTTTTTTTTTTTTTCAGGTTCGGCCCTCTGATTACCGGTAATCCGTTGGGTCCGGGTAGGGCTCGGAATAAAACCTACAGGCTCGGTCTGGTCCGGGCCAGATTTATTAGGCCCGAATGCAACTCTAAACAGAGCACACCCATCCAAAACAGTTAATCATCATGTACAACAATCAAATGTTTTAGGCCAGATGTCCAACTTGCTATTCACAGAAGTAGCACTTAAAGAAACTGGTCAAGATTACATGATTTAATCTTTTTTGTTGTTATCTACCTGGATGATTGAGCTTACAAACCTTTAATCTAGTACATAGTCTGGAACTCCTGGAATGCATTACATGTTGCTATCAGTTTTTTCTTTCTTGTCTGGATGTAAAAAGATTTACGACTTGTATATAGAGTGACTCTTGTCACTGTCGTTTTTCCCTCTGATTTTACAGAAGCCAAAGTTTTTTCAAACACTAGCGTTCAGTGCAGGAGCTGTTTGTGTTTCGGTTCAGCTGTCTTATTCTTGTTTCTGTTGTGTGGACATAACCTGCCTGGATGCTGCACCTCCAAACTTTAGAGTTCCATCGTTTGTTCCATCTATTTCTTGTGTTTTGAACATGACTGTAAAATAGTTTTCCTGGTTCCTCTCAGTTGACAGAGCGACTGACTAGTTTGGCAGAGGAGAATCACAACATCCAGATGAAGAAACTCAAAGACATCTGTGACAAGTAAGTAACGCTTGTTGTTGTAGAGTTTAACTTTGAGCTTTACTATGAATAAAAGCTCCATAAAGGGAAGCAGTAAACAACTGTTTATACGTTAACGGTTCCAGGACATCCTTGTAAAAGAGATTGATGATCTCAATGGATTTCTTCCTGGTAAAATAAAGGTATAAATAAATAAATAATATATATATATATATATATATATATATATATATATATAAAACCTGATTCAAAACTAGAAAATATGGAAATTAACTCATTCAAGGAGTACTAGACCTTCATTTAACTTCTGGAGATATCCACATTCAAGATGGCTACCACAGCTAATTGACCTTAGCAAACACAACATTGGCTATAACTCAAATTTTACAGATTCATTCAACCTTTATTTAGACAGGTTAATCCCATTGGGCCTCGAGGACTCATTTACAAGAGAGAGCTGATTTCAACAAAGAATGATGACAACAATAGACAATTATAAAAGAGGCATACAATTATTTTTTTTTACAAATTAAAATAAGATGGCAAAAAAAGTAGCAAAAATAGCTAGATTATAAGGCGAATGTAGAAAACTAAAAACAGGAACATGTCTGCATTGGTCCCTGCCAGGAGTTCAACAGATTCTTAAAGCCACTTAGAGAGGTCAAGGTCGAGAGCTTCAGATCTTTTTGAGATGAACTTCGGTACAGTAGCAGCTGAGTAATCTCCAACACAGGCTCGACATCAGGCTCGTCATCAACGTGCGCCGCAGCATGGCAGCACTGATGAGAGCTCCTCTTCATCTCACACTTTTTTGTTCATTGTTTTTTTTGTTTTGACTTTTTGCACCTGCACTGTACTCCCACACTACGGGTATGACCGCAACGCACTTTTGGTGTTGTAATCGTCAGTGAGTGGGTACTTTGGGCGGACTTTGGAGGATTTTGGGGACTCCACGGTGGACATATTCCCCTCAGTCCTTTGTTTACTTGGACGTTGTGAGACGAAAACACGAAGGGGGAAGTGAGCTGATGTTTTGTGCAGGACTTGCCAGAGATGCAGCAAACGGCCTCTCCCCTTGGTTCTGCTTTCAGGTGTTCAGTCTCTGAGGAATAGACTGGATAACCTGCACTCATGGATTTATTGGACCAGGACACGAGGACCTGTTTTGTCTTTGCCTTTACAGAATCAAGGCTGTAGCCATCCATACCACACTGTGCTGTGGCTCCTGACGACTGCTCTGTCTACCGGCTTGACAGAACTGAGTCTCATTTGTAACACCTAATATGTTTATTGCTGCTGCACTATGTGGCTGTATCATGTTTGTCGCTGCCATCGTGGTTCCGTTTATTTCAATGTACAAATCTCACTACCTGTGCAGTGGTCTGGCGGTGGTGTATGTTGTGTGTAATATATATCATGTACATTTAAGCAGTGTTACTGCCTGGTAGATACTTTTTTGTTCTGATTCATCCTGCTTGCACCGTTGTATTCTACTATGTTGTTTACTGTATTTCTTTTGGCCTTTGCAGATGTTGTATTTCTTTTTCACTTTTTGCTGATTTGTTTTGTACTTTTGTGGCATCCTTTAGTGTTTCTTGTTTTTTCTTTTGATAAGTCGAGACAATTCTTCTCATCCTGAGCATTTCATTACATTGTTTCAGAATCAGAATCAGCTTTACTGTCATTGTACCGAAATACAACAAAATTATGTTCGTACAGTCGTCCAAAGATGGGCAGAGTGCACGTTGCTGCTGCTACTGGAGCGCGGCTTCTTATTCTTTTCAGAATATGTTTGCTTAGATGAGAAAAGGGGAAGAAAACATGAGGACAGAGGGTATATTAAAGAAAAAAAGATCTCTCACACCGTGTCCTAGACAGGGCATGGTTTGAGGCATAAAAAAATATATATCACAGCAAAGCAACATAAATAGACTTAATACATATGAGGCCAATGAAGGCATTGATTTTTAAGGGAAGGTCATAGCATAGTCCAGAGCCCCCTCAGCCATCCAGCTCGGTTGAGGTTCTGTCACATGTCCACGGCCTTGGGGAAGACAGGGGTCAGGAGACAGACAGAGCATCTTTGTTTTTATAACATCCCAGGAGGAATTGAGATAGTCCGCTTCCAAGGCTAGATCCACAGTTTGGGTCAGGCAGAACTTGTAATTTGCAGTTCTGCCTTTTAAAGTCTCGCTAGTACATTCTCTGATGGTGACTCCAAACAAACGAATTGATTATTTATGCCAAAAGTCGAGCTTACAGCTTCTCCAAGATTATTCCTTCCACACGTTCATGGGTGCTGCCAGAAAGTCCACAGTCCTGATATCAGCCTGCTTCAGCTCTGATGCAGCTCCACATAATTCAGTCTGAGTGCTGCCAAACTACGACACATTCCACAAGAATTTGTAGACAATCCAGATTCCACCATTCCAAACAGCAGAATCCAGTTGTCATCAATTCCAGTTTTGTTTTCATCGAGGTAGGGGATCCTCCATTCACCCTGACTTCCTGTCGGGAGAAGTTGATCAATTTTGTTGAGAGACCAGCTGATCAAAGTCATCGAATTAGGAAGGTATGCTAAAAAAAGAGGCTCTATAAAGACCTTGTCTTGACCTGCATATGACAAATAAACAATAAACTAAACTAAGAATCTATACTCCAAGCTGTAAAAAACTTTGTGAAATTTTGCTTAAAACTTTGGTGGTGAGTGATATGTTACTTCAAAGATTGTTGCTTTCATTTATCTTCTGTGCCCTCAGTTCAGACTAGCTCTGATTCCTCAGATAATTTATGTTTATTTTTGGAGTAACGCTTCTCATTTTAATATTCATATCTGCCTCTGAACATGCTTTAGACTCTCCACAAGAAGACTAATCACTGAACAATTCATCCAGTCTGAATGAAAACCTTTAAATTTCCTTGTAGAAGTAGTGATTACATTCTCAGTCTTGTTCCCTCTGTGGGTTAGTTTCTTGTAGCAGAGAAATTGATTAATGTAAAGAAAAATCACAAACCAGACAATGATATTAGAGACTAGAAAAGCTGCACTGCTTGAAGGGAATTGTATTGGCAACAAAACATGCACAAGTAAAACATACATTTTTATTATAATAAAGCTTAACAATTGATCTGGTTCTTGACTTTGATCAGCAATTTAGGGAACTCTTTGTATACAATTCAGTAATTTTTACTGGATAAATTTAGCTTATTGTAAACCATATATTTTGTTAACTCTTAGAAGACCTTCTTTTGGCTTTTCCCTCTTCAGGGGTCTCCACAATGAGTCATCATCCTCCATCTCACTCTGTCCTCTGCATCCTCTGTCCTCATTCCAACTACCTCCATGTCCTCTCTAACTACGGTACATCCATATACAGTATCTCTTCTTCGGTCTTCCTCTTTGTCTTTTTCCTGGCAGCTGTGTTTCTAACATCCTTCTACCAATATACCCACTGTCCTGACTTTGAAACAAGTGGAAGATGATTTATGGATGGATGGATGGATGGAAATGTGGATTATTTTCTTAAACAAAACACTTAAAAAATTATAATTCTATAAATGTCATTTAAATTAGCTGTTTTAATTTCAGTCTTGGATAGCTGTAAATTGACTAGTTTTTTTTAATATATACAGTAGTTCCTAATTTATTGCGGGGGATCCATACCCTGAAGACCAACGATAAGTGAAAAACTGCAAAGTAGGAATAGTAGTACAAGTAGTAAGTTGTATATTTTATTATATATATATATAT